GGGGTCTCCATGGAGCTGGGAGCTGTGCAAGGAGCTGCATCCAGGGCCAGGGCTGGGTTTGGGGTAGAGCTGATCTGCTCCCTGCACGCCCTGTCTGCAGAACCTGCGCCCGTCACAGGCATATGGGCAGTGAGTCGCAGCTCTGCCTGGCCTCACCCTATGATTGCCCCAAGATCCCAGGTTCTCCCTAGTCCCACCTGTCTGTCTCGCTCCCAGACACCGCTGCCACGGCCCCATCCCAGCTGCCCAGCCATGCACCCTGTTTGTGCAGGTCCTGCCCCAGTGGTGCTTATGGGATGAATGGGCTGGGGTGCCTGGACAGAAAGGCTGGGTCAGGCAGCAGCAGCCAGAAGGAGCTGTTACCACTGGGGTTGCCAGGAAATGGAGTCTGCCATGGGCTGGATCTGGGCTGTATTTTGCCCACCCCTGTGTATGATTTGCTGACAACAAATATAACTGTATAAATTAACTGCATTTGGCACTTGCATTAGCGTGTTAGGTGAAGTAGTTTTGCTTCCAAAGTAAAGTTCTGGTCTGAGTGTTTTGGCACGTGGAACATTAAAATTTTGCTGTGAGTAAAAGGAAACAATTGGTTTGTTCTGTCTCCAAGCAGCTTTCCTTCTCTTGTGACACAAAGGATTTGGTAGGCTCAGAAAGTCAAGGAATCTGCAAGACTAGACTGGTAGTCATTGGTATTGGGCAAGCAGAAGGGCACGCTTCCATCCCATTCCTCATTTATTAGTCCAAGCCTTTATGCCCTCGAGTTCCAGCTGGCATTGTGAGATGGAGGGTGATTCCAGGTGAACTAAAAGAGCAGGAAGGAAGTGGAAAAAGACAATGTTCTCAGGGGAACCCCTCAGTGCTTTGCTGCCCAAGATTAATTTCAGTATGTCTCACCTGCATTTGTTTAAATTCTCCCTTTTATGATCTTTTCTTCCCTTTTTTAATTGCACTGCTACATTCTCTTCACTACCCCATATTTTCACCTACCATTCCATGCTTGCTTTCTTTCCCTCCTTCAGAGTGTTTCTCTCTATCTTCAAAATCACACGTACCAGTCTTCTATTACCCTGTTCAGCCGCCTCCACTTCTGTTACTGTCAGGTCCCAAAGTTTTAGTATTGAAACCCCTCTGCAATCCAATAGGGCCTTCCCCAGATTCCATTTTTGTCCTCTCCCTCAGTCCTACTGTCATTGCTTTTCATCCCAGATCTTTTTATCTCCTCTTTTCCATAGTCTCTATCTCTTTACTCATCTTCTGTAGCAACAGGAAATAGGCTCCTCTTGGACACTGCTCAGCTTGGTTTTGGTTTCAGGAAGTCTCCCTCTCCCAAAGGGCAGTGTATTTATAGCCTAACTCTTTTCTGTACTAGTCAGCAGTGGCTTTTTTTGTCAGGAGGAAGGAGTGAAGCAGAATGCAACTGGTCTGCCCAGCTGCTGAAAAAGTGTATTAGCTGCTGCCTCCTCAGCTGGGCTGTCACATGCAAATATGTGGTCTGCACGTAGGATACATGTATTCATGAACATTTGGTAGGCTAAGGTGTCTAGCAAATTCATGTAGGGGTTTAAAATTGGGGTGTGAGTTCTAGTCTGAAATAAATGCGAAGCTCATGCAGTTGTTTAAGCATAGATTTGATGTGTGTGAAGGAGCTAGAAATGTAATTTTGTGTCTGTTGGGATTTGGGAATCTAGAGTGATGGGAAGGGGGAGGAAGAAGTTGATGAGTACATGACTGCAGATTCCAGAAGCAATCAATTAAAACAACAGGACAAACTTTTCATGGTGTCATTGTTATGGAGGTGAAAATCATCATAAGCATAGTTGGAGGTGATCTCATTGTTCTCCTTTCTGTCACTATTGAAGTGTGTATGAGGAGAGATTTTCAAAGGCATAAATGGTAATCAGATGCTACGCAAATTGGTGGGAGTTAGGCGTTTAACAACTCTATGTGCCTTTGAAAATGTTCACCTTGGCCAGGTACAGACATTACACGTAAATCATTGTAAGTGATCAGAAACCAGTCTACACCCATAACCAAACGGAAGTTCAGCCCAAATAGACCATTTTAAAAATTGTGGAACCTGGTCTAAGATAGACCTGGATGAATGTAGTATCACACTTAAGCAATTTAGGACATAAAGAAGTTCTGTTGTACAGAAGTTCTGTTGAACAAAGTCTCCTTGTGACTTGAGTTAGGTTGCAGTCCCTTGGCATCCCAGGCTGCTTTGCAGACCCCACTAACCCTCCCTCTCAGGGTGGTGCTCATCTGCTCAAGGTGGTGCTCATCTGCTCTGGCTGAGTGGGCTCTCACAGTGATTTTGTTCCCACTGGAGCCTTTCTGTTGATGTCAGTTGTTATTGACTGGACCCTAACTAAATTCAACATAACCCTTTGTAACATTACATAAGACTTGTGCATTGTGTTAAGATTTAGTTATTCATTAATTTTCAGTAAACCTCGTGTAGGCAAATGGTATTATTCCCATTTAACAAAGGAAGAAACAGGCATAGAGAGGTTAAAAGAATTTCCCTAAACTGGAAGGAAATTGGTGACAGAGCTCGGGCTAGAACTAAAGTGTAATAGTTTTAGACAGAGAACATACTTTCTTTGCTAGCTGCACTGCCTCTTTCTGCTAGATCTTAGGTATATTTTTGCCACAGATAGAGGATAAGCTGTTTTTTCTTGGCTTGGAAGTAGCCTGTATGTGCTTTAACTTTTGGAGTTATACTTTCATCTTATTTCCTGCTTTTAGGGGAAGGGTCTAACAGAGTCTAACACATCTGTAAAATGTATCATGCAATGCATAAAAATGTGATACTGCTAAGAAGGTTAATAGCAAAGTGAAAACTCTCCCCACTTTCCCTGTCACCTCCTATCCATGTTTAGAGGAAAAAAGTAAAAAAGATGGGTATCCATTCTTGTGTTGACTAGCAGAGAACTTAGAATCCCCTATATAGAATGTCCCCTGTGGCTTATATTTAAAGGGTCATAACATATTACTGCAGACAAGAAACATTTGAAAATCACAAGTTGGGTCCCAAAAATAATGAGGAGGAATATGATAATTTGATGATCTTATTTATCTTCTGTTTTTTAGGCCTTAAGGCTAAGTACAGACAGTCAGAAAGCCTGAGGTTGCATTGATTCAGTCTTTGCAGGTTAGTTTAAGTTGCAAAGATTGAACCAATAAGCAAATGAACAGATATTCACTTTTGATTCAGGAAATGAAGCTACATGCCTGCAGTCGCTCAAGCCAGAAGCTGGGGGTGGGGAGCGCTAGGCTCTCTGGCACATAGGCAGCCTGGGCTGTATGTTTGCTTACTCTTCCTGCTGCCCCTGAGGTCTCTGGGATTTGCAGTCCAGAATCACAGCAGCAGGACTGTGCAGGGTCACTTACCATTTCCTCTTCCTGCTTCTAGGTGCCTCTGGGATTAATAGTCCACAGTCACAGCCAGCACTAGGTAAACAGGGCAAGGCAGCTCCATACTCAGGGGAAGGGAAATTTAACCCCCTTCCCTGGCCCCAGACCCCAGCAGAGGTTTGCCTGGTGGAGACGGCCAGTGATCCAGCCAGTGAGGCCAGTGAGTGAGCCGTCATTGCTCCAGTTAGGGAGCAGAGGGGTGGGGCAGCCCTGCTTTCTGGAGCAGACGGCACAGCCCTGTCCATGGGTGGAAAGCATGCTGGGATGCGGGGGAACTGTGATTTAACCTGAACCAGGAAGGAGTCTGGGACAGAAGTTTCATAAACCAGTTTACCTAAATTAGTCAAGTCTGATACTACATTCAACCAGGTTTATCTTAAACCAGTTTCAGCTGTTTTGAAACTGGTTTTTGTATAACTCCTGCTGTTGAGTTCAGTGGAATTTTTGATCTTTTGTCCACAACCTTTAAAACTAAAGCTCCTTTATTTTTTAATAAAAGCTAAGATGTTTGCTTAAATTGAATGCCTCCAAGGGCTGGACCTTCAAGAAATGAACCAAATGCTAAAAGACTTTGCTAAAATCATCAAAAGATAAAAGATATGTAAAGATAATTGGATTTAAAAGATCATTTATCCATTTTGTGAATGTGTCTTTTAATATTTTAGTTGCCATGTATATCTGAAGCATTAGTACATCATACTCTAATATTAAACAGAAAAGTGAGCGAAGCCAGTATTTTTAAGTAAATGATTTTCCTCCTTACACCTTGATTATACCAGGAAAAAAGCCAATTCAGAAATGCATATTATTCTTGACTGTGATCTGGCTTTGATTGTTCAGATCATTTGCAAAAACAAAACTATAAAGCAGCTCCCAAAGATTTGGTTCCCAGTTTCAGCCTTCATGCTGTCTTTTTAAAAAAACGGAAGCTCAGTTTACCTTCTAGCAATGTGAATCAGTTTCTCTCTGGATAAAGTTTCTCAGTATAGTTCAAATTCCTCTGAAGGCTGTTCACAGTGTCTATGATATGCATCCCTGCTTATTTAGGAATGTAAGTTCCAGGGTCATTTTATGTAAGCTGAAGCGCTGAACCTTCTTTTCTAATTAGAAACATAATTTTTCTAGGTGTTGTTTAGACTGCACAAGAGCCTTGCAGTAAGAGTGGTTTGCTGCCATGACCCACTGACAGTGCTAGGACGTGGTGTTGCAAGCAGGATTGGGTGAGAAAAAATAGCTTGAGGGAAGAAACATTGTTTTCTTATTTCAAAAGTCTTGTCCCTGTGTGGGAGGTACTTGGATTTAAGATGTTGTGGGCAAGAACAGGAAAAAAGAAAAGAACATTTTTTAGGGGTAGGCAGGAGTGGGAAAGGTTTCTGTGAGGGGCAGGATTAAAGACACAGTCCTGTATGGGGCTCTAGTCGGCACTACATTTTTTATAAGCAAGGGACCAAGAGACACACCTGATATTTACATTACTATTAACATAAAAGTGTATCTAATGAGCCACAACTCTTATGGTCCAGCTTCAACACAAAGACACAATAGGGTTTAATTTTTTTTAAACATTTTTATTTGCTAGTTGTTTTTGTTTTTCTTTAGCTATAGCGTTCACTAATAAGAAGAGTTAATGGAAGGACATACCACTGACTCCAGTGGAATGATGGATTCTTGAAAGCAAGTGAGAATGCCTAGAATACTTTCTCTCTTTTCTGATTTCCTGGTTTCTTTAATCCTGAAAGAAAAGGGAAAAGAACTACATTAAAACCAGCCTCATGCAGAACTCTCAAACCATGGTGGTAGAATTTGTATTTTGCCTGGTAAACCAGTGATAAGATATGACTTTGAACTCCTTTTATTTCTTGGTATAAAAGAATTAATAAATGGTATGTATAAAAATAGCAAAAACTTGCAAATTTGTTAATCACCTAAATCTGTGAACTAAACTGATGCGACTGCGGTGCCTTTCAGTTTTTGCTTCTTTCAGACTTTGCTTCTGAAGTAGTAAGGAAACTTCACTGTATTGAATGATTTTTTTAAATATGCTAATATGTTATGAACTATATCTGTAACAAAGGCTATGCTGTCAGTTTGTTTACATTTTCATGCATGATACAAGGTCTTGGAGATTATATCCTTACCCTTGTATAGCATTGCACAATTTGTTAGCTGTACAATGGGATATCTTTGTTTTTCCCTGAAACACTGCGTTCTCTCTGAAACACCATTTAACATCGCCAGACATTGGCAGGATAGCCTCTGTCTGGTATGGCATATTTTATGGTTCTATGGATATGATCTATCCTTATGCACAGAAGCTAGCCTAGTTTAGTTTACAATTTCTTTAAACACTGAAAACATGGTAAACCAGTACAAGCCATCTTGTGAACGCACATGATTTGTATTTGTCTAACTAGATAACCTTTTTAAAAACAATTTTCATTAACTGGTACAACTGTGAATATATGAGGCCTTCGTCTGACATTTGACTTGCTTCCAATTCAACATAGATTTTACTGACATTATGTTCAGACAGAGTTTGAATTTTTAGGAGTCAGGTCTTATGTCCATTGCTAAAAGGTTTCTTTTCACAATTCTTTTAACAGAAGTTATGGATGTAAAATTTTCACAGGCAACAAGGGAAGAAAAGAATGCTAAATATCATCACAGCATCAATCATCATGTAATGACTGACTCTTTTTAGATTAATATTATACTTTTAGCTAGCAGTGACAGCTATAGTTTAAGTTTACATTGCTATTTCCATTACTATCCTGAGTTCTCATTCTGACAAACTTACTGGACAGCTTCTAGGAGATTTTTCTTTTTGTGCTTGCTTCTTTCTCTCCAAATCGAAACAGACTTAAAAGCCATGATAATTTTTATATCTAGAAATGTTATTTTAGGCCATTTTTATAGATAAAGACCTATTATAGTTCTAATTATTTCTCTCTCTTTCTGAGCTGTACATATTTATACTTAAAGCAACTTAGGGACCTGTCTTAGCAACTCAGTACCTGTAGTGGGAGAAAACAACAAATGTCACCCAAAACCAATTAAATTTGTGTGAAATGTTCCTAAACTACATTGTCTGTAACAAATGACAGCTAACCCCCCACCATCATCTATTTTGCAGAAAGGCATTGTCAGTTTTTATTTGAGATATCTGCATCATTCAATTTTGTCTTCATCAGAAGAAAACCCCACAGATCTAAATCAATGCCAATAGACACTACATCACCATGTAAACCTACTTCTTACCTTACCCTGTTTATCACAGAGGTCACCTCCACCTATATGGTACCCAAATTTGATGACACTATAGGGCTGTGCACAGCAACAGGTATTTCCCCCTCTCTCTCTACTTCCCACTCCCTTCCACACATTCTTTTATTTTCAGTAATATTCAGATGTTCACCTTTGTTAATTTTTGAAGTATCACATTAGCGTGCTTTTGTGTATGTGTTGCATTGCTAGTTTTACATACACATAAAGACTTACTTGTGCATGTATGCCTACACAGACACATGCACACACACACTCATTCTGTTTTTAATGATTTAAAATATGCCTTCTTACTATTTCCTCTTGCTTGGTCTTGTCCATTGGCCGCCATGGTTCTAGTGGCATGTCCGGCAGCAGTGGTGGCAATGGCTGCATTGGGTACATTGGTGGGTTTGGAATCCCAGGCTGCTGGGGCTGCATTGGTGGGTGTGGACTCCCAGGTAGCTGAGGCTGCATCGGTGGATTCGGATGCCCAGGTTGTTGGGGCTGCAGTGGTGGGCTTGGATGTTCACCTGCCTGTGGTTGGACTGGCTCTTGGACTGGCATTTGTAGGCTTGGTTGTTGCTGTGGTATAGGCATCATTTGATGTGGACCTGGCATTTGCATCAGCGGATGCTGGGGTGACAGGAAGGGGATCTGGTGGTGAGGTGTGAGAGTCTGGATGGGTGGATGCTGTTGGGCTATTGGTAACATTGGCTGGTGTAGCCATCCTCCCATTGGTTCATACCCATAGGATGAATACTACAGGGAGAAAAACAGTTAGTTCTATGACATTCTTAGCATTCTCAGTTATTATTTAATATTTACATGTTGTGGCACCAGGAGACCAGTCGGGTGCAGAAGCCATTGTGCAAGGCTCTATCCACACATAAATTAAAGTCTCTGTCCCAAAGAACGTATTCCTTGCTAATGCATCGTCTACATCTCTCCAGCCTTTGTAGAAAAGAATTATACACTTAAAAAATTCAGACTAAAAACTTACATTCCTTCCTTTTGGGTGTGTTAAGAGGAGCGAGTTTGCCATTTGTTGCTGTTGTCTGTCTCTTGTGAGCTGTGCTAACTAATGCAAAGGTAGTGGCTCACTTCTGTTTCATAGCCACATCGTGACCAGAGCCTTAAGCAGTGCTAACTATGTAAAGTTGTCTATTCCACATGCACAGAAACTTCCATATGCTTAGCTTCCTCCTGACTTTCATACCCACAAAGGTATAGGGCACAACTAGTTCCAGTGTGTTTTCAAGTAGCATCTGCAAGCTCTCTAAATTTTGGCTGACTGTATTAGTAACGTGCATATATATCTATAAGTATGTATAGGCAGCTACTATGTTTGTCAAAATCTGCATTTGATAGGGTTTTTGCAGATGGTAAATTGTAGAAAAAATAGATGATAGTTAAGATATGTTTACCGGTTGTCTCATCAGGCTCTGGTACCATTTCAAAGGTGTTAACACCTTCAGGGAAAAAAAAGAACAATACATCAGTATTTTAGGTGATATAAAGCCCTCTTCTAGCCAGAGAGAGTAAATTAAGTTGTCTAATAAGTGTAGTGTTGTCATTTTGCCCCATTGCTAAGGATGAAGTCATTTTGTAGATACAGATTTAAATACACTATGGGCAAATCTACATGTGCAATTAATACAGAGCAATAAACTCCAGCTCAGTAAGTGCCAGAGTTTATTGCTCTTTGGCGTGCCATTTGAACATGTGCCCAAGACCACACCATGTTGAGTTGGGTCAGAGCAGCCCTTTGCTGGCAGGAAGTCCAGGGGGTCAACCTGCCAGCTTGGGGCTGCTCTGATCCAGCACAGTGTACTGTGGAGGGGATGACTGGGGCATGAAGGTGCTCCAGTGTGGGACTGGGGGGCAGGCAGCCCTCATGCCCGTGACAGCCATGTCACTGTCTACATGTGCATTGCTGTGTATTACTCCAGCCTAATATCTCTGTACATGTAGATGCACAGATGTTTACTGTGGAGCTAATTAGTCAACTCCACAGTAAATGTCTCATGTAGACGCACCCCTATGTATTCTGAACACTCTTTATAAATACTGACAGTTAGAAATGCTTGGGTTAAACATTGTTTCATCAAATATGCTGGTTTGTCTAATGTGAAATGTTTCAACCAAGCACAACAGGTTTAACAATTTTTAGTGAATCAAAGGCAAGGTTGCCACAGCACCTGGGTTTGATTCAGACATAAGCTAAACAACAACAAAACCCCGCCCAAAATTTATCTCAAGCTGGAAATCCTGCATTTTAGCCAACTCTATTTTTGAGTCTGCATCCACAGCCTATTTTTGTGTTGCAACCTGCAAAGTTGAAACCTAAAGCCAGCTGCTCTCAAAGGAATTGCAAACATTTTTATGCTTTTAAGAAAAAAACCCTCAGAGATCACGGTTTCCAATAATAGTGATTTTCTTTTTCCTACCACAGCATCAAATTCTCTCTTGAATAAGATCCCCCTTTTCAAAAGTTTTGATGTTGCTGTACACACAAGAACAAAATACTACTCTTTAGTGCTAAGAGATTAATTTAGTTTTTTTTTCTTCCTTTATATAAAGAATACTAACTGCTTAAAGAGTGTTGAACTCTCTGAATGCAATGCATGAGTGTCAGTTACTATTAGGAAAACATGTTTTTTGTTGAATATAGATAGCAAAACAAGAAATATCACTACTACATGAACTTCCATTCTTTGGATGTCCTTCCTGGGTGACATTACTACTAGTATTTGAACACTTGTTTAGATTTGATTTAGTTCAGTTAATGCAAAGCACATTTTGTAGCAAATACAGTCTGGAGACCTAGTGGGCTATATGCAACATTGCATTACTTTAGTTTTATGCCAGTGTAACTGCAGTATTGTATCAGTCCTTACCATGTATCTTGGAAAGTGAATGCATACAATAGGAAAGGTAAAAATGTTTTACCTCATAACTGAAGTTGACATAACCAGGATGATGTGGATGGGGAGGCAACTGTTAAAAACAAAATTGCAATATGTGTCTGTTTCATTTGCTTTCTGTAATTTATTAACACAATTCTTGTGATCTGCTTTATATTAGTAACAGCCTAGAAACCAAATCCTTGAAATTATTAAATGCCTATGGCCAGTGATAGATTTGCTTCAGAGCTAGTGCTAAATCATTATGTCTACAGTTCAACGAAGCCTTCAGGCACATAAGTAGACCTATGGAAATCAATTAAACTACTTAAACATGTGCCTAATTTGTACTTTTCTAAAGTTGCCTTCTATCTAAAATCAAGCTCAAATGGCTTATTTTTACATGAAGCTTCCAAACTTTTAGGGTTTAGGGTTTTGAGAGGTTGGGAAAGAAATCCATATCCTTGGGCTGAGGGCCCTGGTAAACTGGTAATTTATATTAACAGTTTATTCCTAGTGGCTTTTCATTCTGAAAATCGCATTAATAGCATTAATACTTATCAAATTGTTTAACTAAATTTAAGCAAATAATGATTCATTTTGGGAAGTTTATAATTATATTTGTATAAGTCCTGTATATATGTTAATGGAATAGGCCACTGAATTACAATATAACTATAATATATACTCACTGGTATAGCAAATGTTGCACCTAGTAGGCAAGTGATCAACATCCAGCCCTCCATCTTTCTCGAAATATAGTACCTGAAAAAAAAGGGAAAAAATATTGTCTTGGTTAATATTAGAAGAGAACTATGTTAATATGACAGCATCTGGATCTGCTTTATAATAAACTATCTTTAGATGTCAAGGACAAGTCTGTTTAGAAAGTTAAGTCATTCATTTTTCAGTATGGGATGGAAAGAACATATCAGTGATAAAAGGCGTTTGGATTCTGGAATTCATTTTGAGATTGAACATAGTTCTTCAAACTATGTCTGTCTCCTCCAATACTTCCCTAATCTTTGAAGGGGGTTCCTTGTAACTTTGAAGCCTTGTTCATGCTGGTTAAAAGCACAGCAACTATATATGTCAATTAAAATAACATAGATGGACTTACCAAAGCAGATTTAGTAGATTCTCAAAGAATGTGGGTACGGTCAGTTTTATTTATTTGTTTTAGAAAAAAAAGTAACAGAATTTAGCAACTGGAAAGATCTGAAACATATTTGAAATCTATTCAGGATCTTTTCTTCTTGTGGGGCTAAGTTGTTTTGAGAAGAAAACAGTGTAAATACTTTCTTGAAAAGCTGTCTATAGATCCATTTCCTCACTAGAATACCTCATCTTTAGCATGTACTTGTTTGCTTTTTTATATTTTATTTTTGGCCAAATTATTTTTTAATGTGCTACTGTCACTGTATATTTATCTTAAAGCCTTTTTTCTATTATGAGTGTTACATGTTGCACCATGCGAAGCACAAAGCACACATCTGGCTTCAGAATACAGTACCACATTTTCAGTGTATTTCCCTCAGCAGGCAATATTAAGGTTTTCAAAGTAAGAATATGTTGTATTTGAGTGAAGAAATGGGTTTTCACTAAAAATGTTTCTACTCCAGTTTAAGGGTTTAACAAGTCTGAAATTCAGTTGTAAAGGAAATACATTGAAGACTGAATTTGGCCATATTAATAAAGGATAGCAAGATCCTTCTACTTACCCAGGTTTTCTGCTGACTGTGGCTTCTTTGGGTCAGCTTTTAAAAGTATTTAGGCACCTACCGATCATTGATTACAGTACCTTTAAACATCTGGCCTTTTGTTCATGTGCAAAGTACCATGCTAAATGTCCATCCCACAGTGATGGAAGAATTAAAAAGCTTAGACTTGGAAAACCAATATTTACTTGTACTAACTTAGACCGTACAAACTAAGGTTCAAATGTTGTTTTGAAACAGTAGTAAAAGAATATTCAATTCTGAAGTACTTCAGTTCTAAACTACTTACCTTAAACTTTTCTGATATTTTTTCTTTCTTAAAAGTGAATTCTCAAGAAACAGGAAACATACAGTGGCATGACTCCAGGAATGTTACAAAGCTATTACACTGATACTTTAAGAAGTATTTCTTTGACCAATTTTTAACAGTAATCATAGAAGAAACAGGGTAGCATATAGACATGTTTTTCTGAATATCTTTGGCCACATGTTAACAGTATGATTGCAGAAGAAATATGAGGTAAGCAATAACATATTTGAACTGGTCTAGAAGCACAATTCAGTTTTAAATATAATGTAGAATAATATTCTGTAAATAAAACAGGTTTACCTGTAGAAGTACTCCAGATAAATTCTCTGTAGGGTGCAAGGTCTGTTAGTCTTGATACCTTTGAATGCCTCATACTCTGCACTATTTAAACTATTTTCCTATCTTCAACAGCCAATCAGCACCCAGAAAAAAATCTCTCTAGTCATGAAGTTTCAGCCATCAGAATACACTGTTGAACCAAATATTGTGATTAGAACATTCAGTCTTTCATTATGCAAAATAATATGCTTTCCAGCAAAACATGAATATGCGTGATGCATGCTATTTAAGCAAATTAACAGCATGTATGTACTGGTTGGTCTGGAATACCTTTGAAAAAGAGCAGTGTTGTGTTCTGCTGGAGTAATCAGTAACTGTTTCTAATTTTCTTATTAAATTAGAAAATATTGAGCCAAATTTTGTCATGCCAGGAACTCTAGTAGGAGGTAGCTGAGAGCAGAAGTAAATGTTATATTTTTCTAATTTAGGGTGAAATGGCACTTGGACAGAGTAGTCCACCATATCTACTTCTTCTCTCTGGTCTTTGCATAAGCTTCTCCATGACAGTTCAGTGGGGATTAGACAATTCAAGTGACAAATTGTGGGCCCAGAGGCCTGGCAGACACAGCTCATTCAGAATGTGAGGTATGACTACTGGCCCTCATCATTAGACCCTGTGGAAAATCAATAAAGTTCAAATTAATGTCTACTGTGTCAGCATTTTTGTCCACTTTCTTCTTGTTAGATAGGGAACTGGATGAACATCACTGAAAGACACAGGCTTGCTACATTTTGGTGCTGCATAGACCACATCTCTGTAATGTGTTAGTATAATTCTCTAATTCTAGGTTTATTTCTAGTTTCGCTAAGTGTCCTCAGTGAAGTTGTTATGTTGCTGCTAAATCATTTTAACCCTTTCTTATAAATTTAATGCTATTACTTATTTTTCCCATTTCCTTAGCTCTTGGATTTTTTTTCTGTTGTTGAGAGCTATGGAAGCATATTAGTGTTCATAGAAAATGCTGTCAAAATCAGGCTATCACATAAACCTTCTTAATGCATCTTTTTCATTCACTTTTTAAAAGGTAATTTTGTTTTAAAAAGCAGCTTGTTTTCTTTCACCAGAAATACTGTCTAGTTAGCAGGGATCTGGATTTTCCGTTTCCCATGGAAAAAACAGAGTAAAAGATGGATTTCCCCCTTTACCTGAGGAAATCACGGAGTTCTCATTGTAGCAGAAAAACTTGTGGATTTTGCAGTTTTGCATTGAGCTCTCTGGAGGCTGGCAGAGTTCCAGCTTGCAAGGGGCTGGGGGGGAGCAGGAGGAGGGCAGGGGGTGCCATGTGCATGCGAATGCATGGCTGCCAGGTAGCATCGAAAGCAGCTCCCACAGGAAAGTGGTTTGTGTGTGTGTGTGTATGTGTGTGTGTGGCGGGGGGGGGGGGGGTGGGGATTGAGGCCCCCATAGTGATGGTGGGAGGGAATTGGGCAGGGCTGGGACTGAGCTGGGGTTGTGGCTGCTGCCCAGCTGGGCAGTGCATGGGACTTGGGGCCCAGAGCTGCAGTGTGTGGCCACAGGGCCCCAGTGGGGAGTGGGATGGGACTGCAGGCAGCTTGTCCAGGGGGCGGGAGGGTGGGGCCAGCTCTCCACCACTGCGTGCACTCCCAGGGGGAGGGGGAACCCGTGCCCCCCAGATCTGTGTATGGGGTGGGGGCAGAGTGGGCTGCCTGCTGCAGGCACAGGCTCCTGCCCTCCCCCAGGGCCTCCACAGTCCAGCAGACACAACTTGGTGTGGCAGGGAAGAGCAGGGCCATGCAGGGATCTCCTTGCTACTGCGAACTCTATGCTGCCCTGGTGAGTTGTCCCCTGCACATTCAGCAGCAGTGAGGGTGGTGGTGTGGGGTTGTATGTAGGGGATACATTGCCAGGGCAGCTTGGAGTTCGCAGCAGCAAGGAGATCCCTGTGCAGTCCTGCTCTGCCCTGCAGCACTGGGTTGCACCCACTGGGCTTTGGAGGCCCTGTTGGGGAGCAGCAGGGCAGGAGCCCAAGCGTCCCCTGCCCCCACCTCACGCACAGATCTGAGGGGCACGGGTCCCCCTGCCCCCCCACGGGAGCGCACATAGCAGCGGGGGCTGAGCCTGCAGCAGGCAGTGGGAGGGGAGCCAGGCTCTGCTCCACTGCAGCAGCCACCACCTCCTGCCAGGGCCAGGGGGTGCAGACCTGGGTCTCTGGCTCCATAGCCTTGGCAGTTGGGGGCCCGCTCCAGTAGGGCTCAGGGTAGCAGCAGCTATGGGTGGGGGCAAGAGGCATGAGCATAGCCAGGAGGCTGTGGGGGTGGGGAGTGAGGGGCACAAGCAGGGGCTGGAGCAGGTGGGGGGCTTTCATTTTAATCACGGATTTGGGGTATTTTATCAGAGAATTCTCAATTTTTTTATCAAAGAATTTGCAATTTTTTATCAGGGGAAACCGGGATCCCTAGTAATTACAATTTAGCTGATGGTTTTCTGTGACATTTGGAAGAACAGCATCCAGCTTTTTCTCCCATACCCCTGTTAACTCCATGGGAATAATATTGATAAGGGATAATCAAATGTAGCTGACACGATAGATTATTTGATTTGATTATTTTCTTACCCTAAATGAAATTAACAGGGTTTTAGCTACAAACTTCTATGTTAGTAGGATTAGACACCTGTAGAACAAATATGTTGATTAAAACTTATCATTTAAAAAATTGTTTATAATCCAAAAAAATAACACCAGAGTGCCTAGCCACCTGTCTAGGCACTCTGTTTCTAAAAGTCATAAGAAGTTTTGCTAAGCATAAATATTATATATATTACACTATTATAAATTCCCCTAAGGGACATGTTCAGGAGCAGGACCACAGCCAAAGACCCAGTTCATTACTCCATAGCCAAAATTATTTTCATTTTCCCTCATTTGAATCAGGTAACCTCTACAACTGCAGCATGCTGGAGATACTTGGCTGAACTATTCAGACACCCAACTACTTGACCAAAGCCAAATTTTGCTGAAGGAAAAAATGTGGAAGCCAAAAGAAAAATGCATCTGTCTGATATACTGTAGTAGTTTTCACCATCTGGAAGTGCAATATGAACATTTTTATTCAGACAGACCACATAGAGATTCTTGAAACCTAGCAGTGCATGCTAGAAGGAGTGGGAGTGGAGGATAGTAGTGACGGATAGTTTTTAACATTACTAGTGGAAAATGCAATAGCAATGTAAACCAACCTAGTGGTTTTATGTAGCTTGTAATTTCAACGTTTTGCAAGCATTCCATAATTAGATGTTGAGAGCAATTTTCTCCAATATACAAGTGAGACAAGATGCAGATGGATGGTAGTTTGGTTAGATGGTAATTAGCTGTGGTAAAAACATGGAGCGAAAAATGCTCATCTGCATTAGTTGACGGCAAAATCAGCAACAAGAAGAAACTGCCAACATTCCTAAACTTAAAAGAAAGTCCTTACGTACCACAAGCTGCTTATTCTCTTTCATTTCTGAGACTTCAGATGTTAAGGGTAAAAGCAAAATGTTGCACTAGAGTCAGTTCTGATTTATCCAAGTCAAAACCTAGAAGTGGCATAGCCTTCACACAGACAACTTGTCCCTGGAGTGAATGGCAGTTAACTTGAATTAGCTGTGATTGTCCCAGGAAAAAGTGTTATCTTGTATACTGCACAGATACTTCAAGTTGGACATCTAGAATCTCAGGATAAAAAAGGCTTTGTCCCGGGAGACATTCAGTGTTTGTTTTATCTGGAGAGAAGCTGATCCCCATTTGCTCCTTATGTGAGGGGATATGAGGGTATCCAGCAGTAACAGCTGCTCCCCACGGGATATTCAGATCAGCTCCACTTCTGACTCAGTAAGTGGTAGGAGGAAACATTAGTGTCTTTTTTTCCCAGCAGGATCTGTTCCTCTGGGAGTAGGGAA